TACATCATTATTCATTTTACCTTCTACTAAAAAAAAGACAAAATTCAACATAATATTTCTAAAAAATATAACTGACATAAAAATTAAAATCCAAAATTGTCAATAGGTATAGTATGAAGACATATCTAAAATTCACTTTTTATGAAAAGAAGTAACCTCAATAAAAATAAGAATTTCAAAATTTAATTATTTTTAAATTATATATTAATTTGTAAAACTTCTTAGTCTTTTAATATGAACATTAATTAGATTTAATAATATTCTTTAGGTTCTACATCAGTGACTCATTCTCATGAACAACATACTGTACAGATTCCAGGACCACCTCCAAAAAGACAAAAACAATTGACACTTATGAATAGGTAATGTTATTAATATTTCAYATACTTAAGTACTATTTGTACAATCGTACACATACAAATATACCTATTTATATTTTAAATTTTGATTCTTTATAAATCAATGATGCAATTATTTGTTGATAGGTTTAGCTTACCACCTGAAAGTAAAGTGGACCARTTTTACAAAGCTGTTGTTCAAATGATTGCWGAAGACATGCAACCATTATCAATTGTAGAAAACAGTGGATTTCAAAAACTTATTAACCTACTTGATTCACGTTATAAGTTGCCTAGTCGCAAACTCATTGGAACAACGCTTATACCAAATTTGTATGAATCAACTAGACATAAGATTGAAACTATTTTGTCTCAAGCAAAATATGTATCACTTACATCAGACGTTTGGACTTCATTGAATACAATATCATTTATAACTGTGACTGTGAATTTTTTTGACATTGATTTAAATTTAAAAACATACGTATTAACCACCAGAAAACTAGAATCTAATCATACAGCACAGTATTTATCTGAAGTACTTACAGATGTAATAAAATAATGGACTATAGAAGATAAAATTGTTGCAATTGTAACAGACTCTGGTGCAAATATTAAGGCAGCAATAAGACTCCTTGGACTTAATCATATCCCATGTGCTGCTCATAAGTYAAATAATGCTGTAAAAAATGCATTAAAAAGTGATTTCGATGAAAGTGACATTGAAACCGACCACACCGAAGAAGTAGAAATGATGAAGCTGGTTAAAATGTGTCGTTCTATTGTTGGGCATTTTAAGCACAGTGAGGTATCAACCAGGGCTCTTAATGAGAAACAAAAACAACTTAATTCTCCAATTCTTAAGTTAAAACAAGACATGCCAATTCGTTGGAATAGTACACTAACAATGATGGAACGTTTGTTAATAGTCAAAGAACCTTTGATGCTGGTTTCAATGAGCTTATCAAGATGTCCAAAAATKCCATCAAATGACCAATGGGAAAGTATAAACGATTTTGTTATACTTTTAAAACCATTTGAAAGCTTAACTATACAAATATCCTCAGAACAACGACCAACCTTAGCAAAAGTTATTCCATTATTAAGAGGTAGGTAATACTAAATATCTGTACACTAAGTAGAACAACAA